TAAGAAACTGAAGTATTTAAATCCACATGCTTTTTTTTTCAACTATATTTTCATACCTGCTACTAGATTGGTCTTAGCTAGGAAATTTCTTAGTCGAATAGGCAACTCAAGTACTCATATGGGAATTCTAACAACTATGCGGGCAAACAATACAATTTACACTCACAGTACTGACTGGTTGTATGCTTTTGCATGTAGTGGTATTAGACTATCATTTGTACTTCTTGTTTGAAACACAGCATTGAAACCATGACACTCAATGTATGTAAAACAAACATTTTGGAAAGACTCTTACCTTAGCAATATAGATATCTAAGAGTTTACAAAGAGAAGTATCACATCCTTTCAAAGCAAGTGGTTTTTAGCAAGCCTATAATCCACCCTCTGTATAGTAATAAACCATGACTTGTAAATTTAAACTCCCTTTTTCTCTAGAACACTGGTTTAGCTATTTCTCCACTTATGATTTAAAGCTTTGTGTCTGTATAACCCAGATCAAAATCACAGAAGTGGCATCTACCCCAGTGATTCCTTCCAATCAGTCTAAAACCATCTGTTTTGGCTGCATGTTTCTTTGCACCCAGGAGCACTGATTCCAAAAGCAATGTATTTCTAATGCTGATCTGGGAAGAACTAATCCAGCCATTTGGATGCATACTTTGCTATCTAGGTGTCACTGTTATACATCACACTGGCTGAGATATCAAAAAACAATAGCAACAACAGATACAAATGCATCTTGACAAAATGGTATATTTATGGTTTGTGTACATGCATAAGTCAGCTGCATAACCACCTCTGGCCTCCACTCAGAATTCATTTATACGGATTGAATTAGCTTCCAATCATTCACAGAAAGAATGGCTTTCTACAGAAAGGCCTTGGGATACAGAGCCTCCCTACCAGAATTACAGAGAAAACATCCAGAAACAGACGTATACACCACCTACAAGAATATCTACATGGACAAACAGAACTGTGGCTTTTAAATTCACGAAGCTTTCCTTTGTATTCATATCCTTCTTTTTATTATGTGTAAGAAAACTTTCATTAAATTTCCTCTGCTATTCCTAAGCAATGCACATCAAACACTTTTGAATCAAGAAATTCTTCCTCTCAGAAAGTTCCTGAGCTGCAAATTGTTGGAGGTAAAAAGAGAAACAGCACTGTTTGTTTGTCCATTTGCTATATTCTTTCCCTAGCATTCATATTCAGGCTCTACTGACAACGGGGTACTAGAATAGACAAGACTATAACACAGCTGCTCATGTATTCTTATGCATTCTACATTTTTCTAACTTTTATATCTATGAAGCTTTTTCTTATTCTCTTACTCACAGAAGTTTGTTCTCTCTGCTTTTTCCATACAATGAATTCATGAAATAAAAATAGTTTTAATGGAATCAATGGGTGACAATTTTCACACATCCTAGATACTACACTATTGCACACACTAGTATGCATTTCCTACTCTACTTTTACTAAGTTTTGATAATTTAAAGTAGAAAAACTACTCACATCCAGTACTGTCATGCTTTCAAATGCTGTAATAGATTGAACCTGATGTTTAACAAACTGCTCCTGTTACCCCTATGACTTGAGGGCTTCACTACTTTCTCTTTTGGTCTAGTATTTGTATTCAGAAGTCCCTGCAGTGTTGCAGTATGTTACTTCCTATATGAATCTCATTCTTTTTGATCATGCTAGACCTGTTTTCCCATGTTTTCACTTGTGCTGACTGACTTCTCCAATTACAACACAAGCCATGTACAGTATTAATATTCTGTTTACTCTCCTACATCGCTACAAAAAGAAACAAGGAAGAAGATAAAACGATCTGTCCTATCTCACTGGCTAACTCTGAGAGTTTACTTACTATCTTAAATTGACAGTCTATTGTTGTTAATACCAGTACCTACATCATCACCAGTCCATTCTGCTTCCTAGGCTTGAAGATGGCAGTAACAAGCAAGAGGGAGGAGAGGACTAGGCAAGAACTAGGTAAACTGGGCAGAGAGGTAAAAGAGAGGAAACCAGCTGAACTTTATAGGGAAGTGGGCATTCACAGTATCACAAATTGCAGGAAGTTCCTCTAAGGCAACAAGCATTCTCAACTCGTATTCTGCTGTTAAAGAGGAATTGATGTCATCCAATATCAGACAAAAGTTGGACATACCCTCAAGACTGGAGCACCTCCCATATGAAGACAGGCTGAGGAAGTTGGGGCTGTTCAGCCTGGAGAAGAGAAGGATGCGTGGAGACCTCATAGCAGCCTTCCAGTATCTGAAGGGGGCCTATAGGGATGCTGGGGAGGGACTCTTCATTAGGGACTGTAGTGACAGGACAAGGGGTAACGGGTTCAAACTTAAACAGGGGAAGTTTAGATTGGATATAAGGAGGAAATTATTTCTTGTTAGGGTGGTGAGGCACTGGAAGAGGTTGCCCAGGGAGGTTGTGAATGCTCCATCCCTGGCAGTGTTCAAGACCAGGTTGGATGAGGCCTTGGGTGAGATGGTTTAGTGTGAGGTGTCCCTGCCCATGGCAGAAGGGTTGGAACTTGATGATCTTAAGGTCCTTTCCAACCCTAACGATTCTATGATTCTATGACTTAACTCTAAGGCTCTGGTTAAGGAAAGCACTCCACTTTGGGGCAGTATTTCCGTAAGTGGAAAAAAAAAAAACAAAACTATAAAATTTGAACACTTAAAATGGTAATTTTGAGGATGTCTAAATTCAGGCACATGGCTAAAAGCTTTCCTGAAGAAAATCCCAACCATAGAGCAAATTACAAGTTGTATTCCTATTTTTGTATCATGCTCTGATTTTTGATTCTGAGTCAGAGAAACAAATGTGCCTAGAATTTTTTCTCATAACCTGACACTGTTCATAAGTATACAGAATTTGTTTATGCTCTGTATTTTTCTCCCTCCTGAGCAATAACTATTCCTGTGCTGTAAAAGTAAGAAAATTCTTCACTTCGAGAAGTAGCAGTAGAAGTGCCTGAAGAGAAAGTTTCTTACAGAGTACTGAAATCAACACAGAAAAATACCAACCAATGTCATATTTTCTTATAGTCCATGGGACAGCCATATTTTAAAATACATCTGTAGATAAGAAATGGGAACATCTCTTTGTGACAGATATATATTTTCATACATGATTTAGCAGGTAATGGATGGTGCTGATAAGCAATTGTCATTGAAATCTGAGGTCAATCAGTTATCCACAAATTAGCAGTTTCCCATTATGGTGCGCCAGCCACCAAATGCAAGAAATAAAGAACTCAATTATTTTGAATTAGCACAGGCTCCTTATCACCTCCAGATAAAGTAACTCTGAAAATCATTTCTATATCCTGTTTTAAATGATTAAAAGTATTAAAAGAAGATTTATCATTCCAAGACAACAAGATCTTCAAACTATTTTGAAATCTGACAGAAGACAAATAATAATAGTGAGTGAAGGGTGAAAGGGTATCTTGAATATAGCTCAATTTGTCTCCAACATGATTTATAGAGCCAACCTGCAACATGATAGCAAAAAATAAGTTTTTCCTCAGAGGTGCCTGAGGTCCACAAATCTCATTATTGTCATTTCTTTTCCACCTCTCAAATTTAATAACATTTATTTTTAAAGGACAAAATAAATATTGATACACATATGAAAAAAAGCGTATATGGCACTCTCTTCATAGCATGAGCTTCTTGGGTACCCATTATCTAGCTTTAAATCTACAAGATTTATAAAATTCCTAGATAAAAGTTTAATTCCTCTGAATACTGAAAATTGTTTAAAACAAGAAAAAATTCTTATGCAACAAATAACAAATGAAACTGAATTTATTGATCAACAGTACCTTTAGAACACAGTTTTAAGGAGTATTCAAGTTTAAAGAAGTCCATTGGAACCTAACCTGCCTGTGAGAACAAAAAAAAACCCAAATAACCCACACCACGTTTCTTTAATGCCTGGCAAGAAGAGTAAATGTTTTAGGCCCAGGTGTATGTCAGCATCTGTAATGTAGCATGTGTCTGGTTTGCTCTGTAAAACATACCTTGCAGATGCAAATCATTTAAGGTAGAAAAGAAATACTAGTAAAGAAACAAAACATTCATTTATTAGGTAAATGATGCCTGAAAGAGATCCTAAATCGAAGCTTCTGTGTATATTCTACAATGAAATGCTAAAAGACCAAAACTCAGAATGAATGATATAAATATATTCAGAGATATGTATTTGTGTAAATTTAAATTTCAGGCAGGGATGATGTTAGGATGCTATAGAAAAACTGATACAATTGTCAGACATTGAGCAGGTATGTGGGAAAGTTACAAAGGTAAAACAGTGTTCTCCAATATTCCATATGTTTTTATGATGATTAAAGTTACTGTTTAGCATCGATACTGGCACAACAAAATTGACACAGCTCACTAAGGGATTTCTTTGCATGGGTAATATGCATCCTCATCCCTTCAGGTCTTCAAATATAACTACGAAAATGTAATGCTTTAAAGTAACTTTGCCAGAGGCACCTTCTGTACAACAATAGGAACATGGAGACAAGACAGTATCGTTTTATGGTACCCTGGAGAGCAGCTGTCTAGCATGTTGCTGGGAGAAAGACTGCCTAACTATTCAAAACATCCCCAGAAAGCAGCACTGCTTAGCATCTTTGCACTTCCCCACCACTAATTCTGTTTCATAAACAATGATACAAGCACTTATCCCTTTCATTCACATGTCGAGGTACAGAGAATAACCTAATGGCTTGGTCATTCCCTCTAACCTAGGCATAAGGAATCAGCTTCTAGTAGACTTTCATGCTGGTGGATGAAGTAACAGAGAAGCCCAGTGGAGCATTTTACTTTTCAGTCACAATATCAACCTGCCCAACTTCAGAAAATCTTAAGAAAAATACTTTGGTTTTCTAAGGAAATGAAATTATCACATAATATGTAAAAAGCATTTAGGTACTGAACATTAAAAATATAAGTACTCACAGTAGCATGTTCCCCTAAGTGGATTTCCAAGATACCTATTTTCAGAGTCACAGCTGCAGGGGGAAAAAAGACAAAACCAAACATTCCCATTAAACACGGTATAGTCTTAACAAAAATGCAGCTAGAATATTTATTCCAAATAGCACGAGTTTCATTACCAGTAGCACAGTTACATGAAAATAAGAAGTATTTGATAGAGTTTGGAATTAGGGTGTGCTACTTTCCAGAGACACCTCTCCTTATAAAAGAAACCCAGAGTCACTAGGCTCCTGAATAAGGCACTTACTTATTCAAGTGATGTGCTTAAAGATGGTGCCTAATGTAGGACTTACTGTAGGTGGTACGTCTCCACTAATGAACAGGCAGACAGACAGGGAGGCCAAGCACTGTATCCCTCACTATTCATGCCACTTCAATGACACTCTACTCCTTTGGCTGGTTTTGATCTGTCCACCTCCAAGACAGCAGCTGAGCATCCATCAGGGGGATCATTGACTGCAGACAGTGTCCCCAAATACATCTCCCTCTAACATGCACAGTTCTGAAACACAATGAGACCTGGCTTTGCACTCTCAGTCACCTTCCACACCTTTTCACACCATCCCTTCAGCAATGGAACATAGGTTTTCCATTTCCAGCCACACAAACACCGCTCTGGTAGGCTGCAATACCTCCATATTATTTCCAACTCTTCCAAAATATCCCTAAGCACAAAATGACAGTTACACTTTCACAGCACCACAAAGAACCAAGAGGTGACCCAAAACTATCTGCTGTAGAGATCTAGTCCTAAGCTATGTAGCTGCAACTATGACAACTGGCTCCTGAGCCAGTAATTGCAGCTATATCTGTAGCACTGTAAGCACATCAGTCTGTCAGTTACTTAGCTTCTCTAAATTTCAGACGCAATTGCTTCCTTCATCAACCATCCAGGGCAGTAGGTGAGATTTAGACTGAATACAATGTACTGATGCTGCTGACAAAATGTGTGCATGTAGGAGCTGGAGATACATCTTTCTTATTGATAAGATACACAGTTATTTTCAGAGGCATGAAATACCCTATAGGATTTCAAAGTGATCAAATTGAGTCACACCAAATTTCTCTAAAAATGCCAAGTACCTTGCTAGAAAATGATTATTCTGCTTTTGATTTTCTTGGCTATTCCTCAGAAGTCTCCAGCAAGATTATAATTTTCTATTAAATACACAGAATGATTCCTAAAACAAAGAGAAAGCTTATCACTGCCTATTAAATTAAATATAAATATTTTCCCAGAGGAAATCTGGATCATTTAATAGCTTGGACTAAATCTTCATTATTTTAAGAAATTTAAATTGCAATGAGATTTTTTTTGATGTTACTTTACTTGCAATGTTTAAAATACTTTCTAATTTAGATGCCACATTTGGATTTAACTAGTTGTAGACTGTAGAATAATGTTTGTACTTCTGTTGGTTTCTTCAGTAGTTTCCAACTGATAATTCTTAACATGCTATTAAAAAATAGGCAGAGAATCTCCTTGACCCTTGCTCACTCCTGGTCTCATGACAGTGTGAGAACTCTTCACAAGATCAACTCTAAAGAAATTCAACATTTTTTTAACAGAGATACACTTTTGCAGCAACCCCAAGAAACCAAAAAACTCTCTGTTTCAACTCTAACTGCAGCGCACGCTTTGTGCTCTTGTCCACACAGACACACTGGCCCTACAGTCCTTTCTACAGAATTTAGAAGTAGGACTGATGCTCAAGTATCTCTCTTGCATGTATAAAGGAAACAAAAAAATAATCTCAAGTAATAATATTAGTCTGCTGACATGCTTTTTTCTAAACGTCACAAAACACTAAATTCTTCAAAGAACAGCTCACTACTTAAAACAGATTAGGCTTGTAAAATTAGACTTGAGTGTATGGAAGTGTCTTTAGGTTGGCAAATTTGAAAGAAGGAGCTTAAGGGAAAAGGATCACTTTTGAATGAAGAGTTTAAAAGAAATTCCTTTTCTTGTCAGTAAGACTGTCACATAAATGAGACAGTACATCATGTAATGAATAACAACTTGATAGATATTACTGTAAGAGGAATATTTTTTTCCCTTTTTAATTGTTTCAAAGGCAAAGTAGAATATTAAATATAGGCAGTATTCAGAATATGCTGGGGTTTTATACACAAACACAAATATGTTTTATACAAATAACTGTGTATTCAGAGACTAAGGAAGACGGCAAGAAACTTACCCTGCTGCTTACTGAAAGGCATGATTTATGTATGAAATGGAAGAGCAATGCCCGACCACCACTAGCAACAAGCTGTGCAACCTTCCCTCAGGACAGACTAAACAAATTCTGCTGTGAACTCTTGCTGGCCACAGCATCCACCTGTAATGATTTGATGCAGGGTCTAAAAGAAGCTTGCTTTGCTCCTAACACAAACCAGGATGTTCTTCTTTTTATCTTTATTTAAATCTTTAAAATCTTTCTTTAAAAAAAGAATGTTGTTTCCATACAGCTTCCCTTGTCCATTCAGCTGCCTCTCTAATCAGATGAAGCCATCTCCTGTGGATCAATAATTACCAGAACCTAGGGATTTCCAGCATCACATATACCTTTCTGGGTTTTTCATTTCTATTACCGGAAAAACACATGAATACATAAAATAAAAATCTCTATAAAATCTGTTTAAAGCATCACAGGTTTCACTACTTAAAAGAATGCACAAAAGAATGGTTAATACAAAAATTACTAGGTAAGGAATATTTTACAATATACAAGTATTCATAAGTATTCATTCAAATCCAAATAATTACTAATTCTCTGACAATTATAGAAGTGACCTTCAAGATTCTGGAAGAGAAAATGGCAATGCAATTTTACAGCCAGCATTTCAGTTGCTTCAGCACAATGCGTGATGAAATTATAAAATAAAAACAGTGAATTACACCACAGCACAGTATTTATATGTATTATCATATCTATTATATTTTCTGTATTGGGAGCCTCACAGAAGTCATTGTACTCAAGGACCTAGTGATTTTGGAATGCAGATGCACTGATTGCCTTGTTTGCCTGGCTCAGGAAGCCCATTTGTGAGCATGGGTAAGGGAAGGTGTTCAACAGCCCTAAGCCAGCCTGCGCCCTGTGCTAGTGGGTGTTATCAAAGAACCTTCCAGCTTATCAGGAGAAGATACATGGTTTTGTTTCTACACAAGACAGAAGGCACCAGGGTATGGGAGGGAGAAGGCACCTCCCCACGGACAGGATCTGTGCAGCACACCAGGAGAAAATCCATGCTGGGTCCATCCAGTACTGGATGCACATGAGGTTCACAGCAACTGATGGGGCACAAGATTCACCTGATAGCTGTATTCCTCTTTTTATTCCATCTTATTAAAACAGCCAGTTTATTATGCCATTTGTTGCCAGTTGTTACTGAGATACAGAAAGAACCCTGAGCCATCTCTTTCACTTCCTCAGTGCAGAACACCTTCATAATGTATATTAGGAATAGTATGAGGTCGAGTTCTTAGTAGTTAGAGAACTACTTACCTTAATTCAAATTAAAATTGCCACTTAAAAACTTAGTTTTCAGTGAAATAAAAAGATGAAACTAATAGGATTAGGAATACATCTAAAATTATTCACATGAGAACATATGCTAGGCTCTGAATAAATTTAGCATTGTCTTTTAATCCTATCCCATTTCATTAAGCATATGTATTGCTCTGCATTAGTCACTAATTATGGTTCCAATTACAAAATTTCCTATTCTCTGAATTGTTTCCTTATGAGCTTTACTCATTGTAGTAATTTTTGCAGCTTTTCCAAAAGCCACCACACATCTGACCATATGTGAAGCATAATATATGCCTAGTATCTGCGAAATGGGAGCCACACTCCTTATTTTATGTGCCATAGGGCTATGATCATTTGCTTTAAGTGGCGATAATGAATGAGCAGTTCCACTCTGGCATGACTCCAAAGACACAACTCCCATTTACAAGGACAAATGGAGGAAGGCTCCTCCCAGGTTAGATACAAATTCTATGGTTTGTTCCAATACAAAAGTACTCAATTCATCAAGGTCCCTGACCTTCTGATGGCTTGCTATTAGCAGTTACTCCCCAACCTCTCCCTCAATTATCCTCTCAAAACTGAACCATTTTCTTTCACTTTCCTTTTCTCCCCAGATTTCCTGGAAGCTAAAAATAAAAGTTATAGACAAATGCATTAAAAACCACCCACTTCTCTCATGTTTATGATGAAGTGATTGATAATTTCTGGCTTTCTCTTTAAATACCACAAATTTCTCCAAAAGTCCACACACATCTACAAGATTCACAGATTTGGGCTTATTATAATGAATGAATTAAAGGCTTTTTTGTAAGAGAGTTTACAAATAATCCTCTGTTAAGGCTTAGCAATGTGCATGATGTTGTGCACTATATCTGCATCTTCCAAACAAGAAAGCTAAGGAACTGGCAGTAGACAAATAAATACATATATATATATATATGTATGTCTAATCTTATTGTCCTTCCTAGTATCTCCCTTAAGGAAGGGTACACCTTCAAGCTTCTCACCTAAAGAAAACTGTCAGAATGTAACACCAACGTATATCTACAGCTTTATAGACTATCAAACACCATATGGAAATCTTATAACAGTTCATCTAACCTTTCATCATGAAGACAGGATTGTTTTGTAGTTCTGTTGCCACCACTGATAGGTAAACCTTTTCCTCCAATTGAGTTCCAAGCAAAGGAAAAGAGAAACAGAGAAAGAGTAACCTACAGCTGGTATTTCCTCCAGCTGAGTTTGACTTTAATGCCAAACTCCTAGGAAAGACAAAAATGTACGTCAGACCACTCCAAAAGACAATATTCTTTCATTCAACTGATTCCCTGCTGAAGCAGTTGTATCTTGTTCTTGGCTCAGGCAGTCTTGTCAACTATATTCGGTAAATATTTATGACCCTTACCTCACATTTTGTCCTTGCAAACGAACACAGACCACTTCCACAGAGTCTGGGGAAGAACTGTCATCATTCTGATCTA